CAAAAAAAACCCACCTACACCTGGAGAATGGAGAACGACACCCCACATGGGCCCCCAGAGGAATGGCCCACTCCCAGCTTAGGTCTTCACCCTTCCACTACCTTCCCCAATGTGCTGCCCCTCCACCCGCTTAAACATGTCCCTCACACTAAACCAAGTGAGGTGTGAATTCAGGAGGCAACAGGTCCTGATGTAATGTGGGAACCTGAAGGACAAGCTCCAGTACACAGGTGGATCGTCATCTCACCATCTCACCATCTCACCATGTTACCATGACACAAGAACTGATGTGAAAATCGTCATGCAACACCCACAACAAAAGTGACGCGGTGAGCATAGAAACAGCCTAAGATGTCATCCCTATTAAGCCTAGATTATGTTACATTCCAGGTATTTAACAGTTAATCATTAATCACACCTTCATATCCATAAATCAGAATTTGAACCAGGATTTCCTCGTAATTATTGCAATTATTGAAATGTTCATCTGTTTATATTTTTGTTTTGTGAATGAATGAAAATGTTTCTTGTGGTTTCCTCTGGATATGTTTTATTTGATGTAAAATAATATCAGTAATGTTACTCATCTATCACTTTTTAACATTTTCATTTCCTTAATGTTTTTATCACAGTGAAATAATATAAATAACCATAATAATAAAAAAGAAGAAGAACAATAGGAAGATAAAGAAGAAGACAAATAATGAGGCTATTATTCTATTATATTTGAGATTGTTGTGTGTCGTACTCAGAGTACTGTTAAAATATCTAACTGTGAGAACTAATATAAAATTAATTTACCTCAACATAATCATATCGACAGGAGCCTCCCTCAACGTCAAATGACAGGAAGTCAAGGGTGACCACGTAACCCTCTGGCTGGTTAATCACCCATTCACAGACCTTACTATGGGGATATGCATTGGGGTGGTAGGGAGAGTGAAACTGCCCACTCCCAGATAAAGTACCTCCACAAGCTGGAGAGAGGGAGAGGTAATGTTTAGTCAGTGGCAAGTGGAGTTAACGTTGGAACGTAAATATACATGATTACACACACAAATATTTGATTGAGCAAGTCTGCATAAAATTTATGCTTTAAAAAAAACTTCAAAAAAATGATTTTCATGTCACTGTAAAATATTTTCTGTTAACTAATGGGACAACAAGGAAAGCAAATTAGTATTATCCCTGCAGCTTTAATTCTAACTGCCAACTAAGAGAAATGTAAGTGAATATTCTTAAACAAAAATAGCATAAAACATATCACACTACAAATCTCACCAACAGTATAGACAGCCCTAAATCCAGCTCGACTGACTGAGCTGTCAGACTTGAAGCGAATCCACAGGACGTTTGAGGA